GAAACCCTAAAAAAAAAAAAAAAAAAAAAAAGTTGGAAAAATGGGTTAAAGGAGGCAAATACAGTATCTGCCTTTAGAGCTATCAACTCAGGAATTCTCTCAATTATGAAATCTTGCAAAGTAGTTATTTTCTTTTTAAAATTCAGCTGATGACACTGCTTACTCCAGATCTGGCATTTCTGTAGGGATTTAAAAAAAACAGTATGAATTACAAAGGAATAATCTTCCAATTTTAAATTCTCACAGGAAACACAGAATTAAAAAGTTCCCTGGTAAACTAATTGCTTATTAGCTCAATCATTCATATTTCTACTTTACTTATTCAATACCATAAAGATTAAGCATTTTTCTTCAAAGAATCATTGCTCAATTTTTTGTTCTCCCCCGACCCAGTACCAGGAATCAAACCCAGGATGTTACACTTGCCAGGCAGGCGTGGTGCCACTGAGCTAAATCCCCATCCCTCAAAGAATTACTGTTAAAGGTGACCTCTATTTTGAGGTTAGTCTCTGATCTGAAACATCTGTGTAAATATACTTTTTATAAAGTCACTTACTTTCATCATCACTGTCTTGTGAATCCTGCAGATGGAGAAATAAAAAGAAGTTATCAAGGTTATCAAATATTCCCTTGCTAACTGCATAGTTTGCTTAAAGAAACCAAAGCACTTATTTTAACAAAAATAGCAAAGGCATATATAAATGGCTATTATTAATTTAATCATTGGATTTAAGACCTGGTTTACCTAAAGTGAATGGATATACAGCCGGGGAGCTATCTTCCTGTAAAAAGCTGATGTGTGCTTCCTGGTGAGAATTCAGCTCACCCTTTCAATCCCTCCTCTTAAACTGTCCTTGTCTCTTGTCATTCAATGAAAGGAAAAATAGCTCAATACAAAGACCAATGGGCCAGTAAAGACAAACTCTAATCCTAAATTTTATTTTATTTTATTTTTTTGGTACTGGGGATCAAACTCGGATCTTTGTGCTTGTGAGGCAGGCAGAGAAGCCAATGAGCTAAATCCCCAGCAAATCCTAAATTTTAAAAATCTAATTTCAAAGCCACACCAATTTGCTGAAAGATGTAAATGAGATACCAGAGGGGATAATGCTAAAGAAATAACCTAGTCTCATCTTACAGTTTCACAATGTCCATCTGTTCATTATACTCTGACAAACCCGTTTCTGTTTGTATTTATTTATATCACACTCTACTGAGGTTGGCTTTGAACTCACTAAGTAGCCCAGGCTGGCCTCAAACTCCCAGTGATCTTCTCGCCCCAGTCTCCCAAGTGCTAGGATTACAGCCATGTGCTACCATGCCCAATCTGTTTTTGTTTTTAAAATTATGGTAACTTGGGCTGGGGATTTAGCTCAGAGGTTCTGCTGCCTGCCTCACAAGTGCCAAGGACCGAGTTCGATCTCTGGTACCAAAAAGCAAACAAACACGCAAACACACACACAGGCAAACAAACAAACAAACACACACACACACACACACACACACACACAAGCACACTATGGTAACTTATATTCTTTGTCAAAGTAAGCCTCAAATTTACTTAATAGAATGAGATATGATGTCTTTCTGCAATGATTCTTACAAATTTTAATCCCTTTAGGAATACTCCATCAAAGGTTCCCTACTAGGTACCATCCATTAAAAATAGTCACATTTAAGCCGGGCGTGGTGGCATACACCTGTAATCCCAGCACTCAGGAGGCTAAGGCAGGAGGATCGCTGTGAGTTCGAGACCAGCCTGGGCTACACAGTAAGTTCCAGGTTAAGTCTCAACTACATAGTGAGACCCTGTCTCAAAAAAAAAAAAAAAGTTACATTTAAAAAATGGTATTTAGGAAAAAAACAAGTAGCCAAACAAACAAAAAACTTAAAGCTATATAAAACCACCTGTAAATTCATTGCTTCTTACTATTAAAGTAAACAGAAAAAATCCGTAGACTTACATCATCTGCTCCATCTACTTCTGGTAAATCTACATCCTCATCTCCACCCATGTTGTTCATCATCTATTTGAAGTATAAAAATTAGTTTTAAAAATAATGTTAAATTAAGCCCTAATTATTAGGTTGCACATTCTGGAATATTCAAGTCTGCCATAGGTTTCCACAAACAAAAAGTACAAAGAAACTTATTATATACCTTCATTTCTGGAAAAAATGATAGGTAATTATTAAAAATCCTGGAAACACAAAGGAAATTAAGACTAACTTCTCCCTCTAAAAAAGTGAAGTTATTAAATTCACCAAGCAAGGAATCTATGATAAGAGAAATTAAACTTCAAAATTCTGAATAGTGCTTACTTCCACTGGAAAAACACGGGATCCATCCGTAGTTAAAATGTTTTATATCTAGCCATGTGTATTATAGTATTCTATATAGTGAAGGGCAATAAATTATTTAAAATACCTTTGAGATGGCTAATTTGTACCAAAGGCTGAATATCAAATCAAAGGCCAACTAATAGTTAAAATACCACAAATGAAGTTTTTTCAGAAGTGCACACGGTAGAAAGTAGTCTTGAATACCTACAATAAATTTGGACTAATAATACAGCATGTTTACACATTTACAAAGAGTATTAATTTACTATCTTTACTTATTTATAATAAAACATTATTAGTTGTTTATAATAAAGCATTATTTGAAGAGCTACAGGCCACCAAAGAGTAAACAACTATTGTCAAATAGGGAAGGATTCATCTCAAGTTAAAAGCTATTCCATAATAAATTTTAGAAAAACAAAACTATTTAAATAGTCACAAGCAGGGGATTTAGCTCAGGGGTTCCACCTTCCTGCTTCGCAAGTGCAAGGACCCGAGTTCTATCCCCAGTACCAAATAAATAAATAAATAAATAGTCACATACAACTTTATAAACAAAAACTTTAAAAACTTTAAGAGAGGGCCAGGCATAGTGGCGCACGCCTGTAATCCCAGCACTCGGGAGGCTGAGTCAGGAGGATTGCTGTGACTTTGAGACCAACCTGGGCTACATAGTGAGTTTCAGGTCAGTCTCAACTATATAGTGAGACCCTGTCTCAAACCCCTCCCCCTAAAAATAATCATAATCTAGTTTCCAATAACATAAATAAGTGATAGTGTCAAGGCACTGCTGAACATTTACTTCTTGTATTAGAGATTGAATCCAAGACCTCCTGCATGCTAGACAAGGGCTCTACTATTGAGCTGCATTTCTAGCCCTTTTTCATTTCAAAATAGTCTTGTTAAAAAAAAAGGTCTTGTTTGCCTCAAACTTTTGATCCTCCTGCCTCAGCCTCTGAAGTAGTTCAGATTACATGTGGCACTGCTGCTTTTACATTTGCTTGAGGATGAAAAATGCGCAAAATGTGTGAAGCACAATACTAGGCACTGAGTACACAACAGCAATAGAACTGAAAGTATTCAAGAGCTATTTAAATAAAACACAAAGGTAGCACAATAAAAATGAATAGTTATGAAGTAGTAACTTTCACAACCAAGTTATACCAATCACTATAGACGAAAACAGCACATTTGAGAATCACATGAATATTCTTCCCTCTTACTGAAATCAAGGTGTGACAGCCATATGATATGTTAAATAATATATCAAGTAGGAAATTAGCTCTTTAAATAGATTTTATGGGTATTTAATTTAAACCTAATATTCTCTCTCTCTTTTTTTTTTGGAGACTGGGTCTTGCTTCGTAATGTAAGCAGGCCTTGAACTCATTGTTGCCCATGCTGGCCTCAAACTGGCAGTGATCCTTCGGCCTCAGCCTCCTGATCTAGGATTACAAGCATGCATCACAGGGCCTGGTTAATATCCTCTTCCTTTGTTGTTGTTGTTCTTTGTTTTTCCTAATGTCTTCTTTCTAATCAGCTTTATTCTAGCACATATAGTGAGGGTGATTCTGTCTCCAGAGATCAAACTTTTTTCCTTTGGCCTTGGCAATATGTATTTGTGTGACTTCTTATAAAATAGACTTAGCCAGTCATGGTGGGATGCGCCTTCAATCCCAGCCCTTAGAAGGCCAAGGCAGAAAAATCTGAAGTTTGAAGCCAGTCTCAAAAGAGTGAACTGAATGACAGTTTAGACTCCACAGAAGATCATTTCAGAAAACAAATGTGAAACACACACAAAACAAAACAAACTGGCAAAAAGCTCCTTTCCCTGTTTTTTGCAACTAAAAACCCATACACATCTCAGTATGAACTCAACATGATTCTAATGTTTAAAGTTTTGTATCTGTACTAACAATACAGCTACAAAATGCAAGCCAAATACTATATTCATTCCTCAAAGAAGAAAAATGTTTCAATCCTAACAACTACTGAACTGGACTAACTCATTATGTATTTCAATTTCTGCCTTTCAGTAGTAGCATTTATTATTTATTTAACCTATTTTAGAACATTAATTTTTTGTTGTTGCCTTCTTTCTTTCTTTTTTTTGGTACTAGGGATCAAACTCGGGCCCTTGTGCTTGCAAGGAGGCAGCAGAAACACTTAGCTAAATCCCTGGGCCTTAGAGCATTAATTTTTAAAAAATCATTTTAAAAATTAAACATTAAAATACTATTAAGATCTCATCTGGGTATAGATTTAGCTCAGTAGCACTGCATCTGCCTTACAAGCTCAAGGTCCTGAGTTCGATCCCTGGTACCAAAAAAGCTCTCATCTGGTATTATCAGTGTGGTCTTAAAAAAAAAAGTTATCTTGTGTTCTAGGTGCTTAAAACCAATTAAAATCTATAGAACTACACTGAGGTAGGGGATGTAGAATGCATTTAAAATAACTTACCTCAGAGAAACGATCAAAATTAGACATGTCTTCATCGGAATCATCCTCCCAGTCTTTCCAATTATTGAAGTCCACACTAAGCCAATTAAGCTATAAATCAATATAAACATCACCCTATGATTAGGTTAATTTGCACTTTAAGACATTTCTGAACTACAGGTTCATACCCATTAATGGGACATGTAATTAACACACTCAGGAAAACGTGTATACACATACCAAAACCAAAAACACCCACATGAAAATAGAAAAACCACAAAGTACATTTATAATAAATATACGGGGCTGGGGATTTAGCTCAGTGGTGATGCTGCCTGCCTCACAAGTGCAAGGTCCTGAGTTCAATCCCTGGTACCCAAAAATAAATACAATATAATAAACATTTTCAATAAACTTGTTTCAGAGTTATTAAAATCACCTTTGAAATACTCACTAGTAGCAGATACTTGAAAAAAATTTTTTCTCCCACTGGCTCCAAACTATGTTCTCATGTTGGAGCTAAGCAAAATTAAAGTCTTCTTTTACACAAAGTCTGTCCCTCTTTTCATGGTGATAGACTGAACTCAGGGCCTTGTACATGCAAAGCATACTTTGTACCAGAGATACATCCCCAACCCCAAAGCATAGCTCCTGAATGCAGAAGATTCTACATCAACTAGTGACTGATTTTCTGATCATGTTGCTGTTATAAGGAAAAAACAAAAACATTAGTTTTTATACTTAGCTATGAAATACTGTATTCCTATTCAAACAAGTATATCTTTTATATTTAATATAAAAATATTAAACATTCAAAAAAAGAAAATGAAGACATACCTTTGCCCTTTCTTTTGTTAACCTAGGCCATGACTGGCCAGATTCTCCTTTTCGTAAACAACATAAAATTGATCTGTCTGTTCTTTTATGCTTGGAATCCTAAAAACAAAAGCCATGACATCATTTATCTCTCTAGTATCACTACAGAACAGAAAGCCTGTCCTTCCTCACCTCTCCATTTTTAAAATTTTTTTTCTTTAGAGGTAGAGCCTTGCTATATATGTTGTCCCGGTTGGACTGAGCCTTGTAATCATCCTGCCTTATTCTCCAAGTAGCTGGGATTAGTGGCTTGTGCCATTCTTCCTGGCTTTCACCTCTCCTTTTTCTCTGAAAGAATCAGGCCCTTTGACTTCTAAAATTTCAAACTCCAAATGCCAAAGAACTTAAGACTATAATTTAACTTGATATCATTTTCTTTTGGCTGCATGAATAGAATACTTCCAAAAAATTAACTGAGAATATTATGTCTTAGTATTATACCATATTATATTCTTATTCTGGCGCCTACCTTGCAAGCACAAGGGCCCAAGTACAATCCCCAATACCCCAAAAAAAAAAAAAAAAAAAGATTCTTAGAAAGACAAGCCTTAAGTGTACTGCTGTGAGTCTAAACAGTGATAAGAATAAAAAGAAAGGGGGAAAGATAATGCAAAGTATAAATATACCTAGCTGAGTTATAATTGCTAAACAAAAACTAGTGATTACCGCTAAATAAATACTTGAAGTATGTCCATTTTCTCACATTAAACCAGGATTAAAATATTAAGAGTACTTACATTTGGATCAATACAGTGAAAAAGATCAATTTCATTTAAATGTTTAAAATTATCACTTCCTCCAAGACAACTGTATAAAAGAAAAAGAAAAATAAATAAGCTTCTTCAAAGATTAATCTTAACTACAATGAAAACAAACAAACAAACCAGGGACCAGGGATTTAGCTCAGTGGTGCCTCCACCTGCCTCGCAGGCACAAGGTCCTGAAACAAACAAACAAACAAACAAACAAAACAAACAAAAAACAAAGCAAGACCAATATTTAGTTTTCTGAAATAAGATTTTAAACCAAATTACATAAAACAGTAAATTTACCTGAAAGTAAGTTTGGATTTTTCAAAATTTACATTAACATCTTTACTGTCTTCAACACAAAATTCAATGAAGACATAGTCCCTTCGATCATACCACTTTGCAGAAGCAGGCTGCCTACAAAGAGAAAAATCAAAGTCAAACTCATTAACTGGATATTTACATAATCTCCGAAGTTCAGTATATCGTATTTCTTTGCTCCATTACATGGCACTGGTTATTTTGAGACAGTTCAGTATAATTTAAATAGAAACTTTAAATGTAGTAGTTAGCGTAAAAATAAAGTATTAAGTCACTTTTGGAAAGAGCAGCAATACTAGGAGTGAACCCAGGCCTTTACACTGAGCTATATTCCTATCCCTTTCATTTTTGCTGCTTATACTAGGGATTGAACCTAAGGACTCCTACAAGCTAGGCATGTACTCTACCACTGAAGAACATTCCCAGTTCTTTTGAGACAAGATCTTAACTAAGCTGCTAATTTGCCCAGGCTAGGCTCAAACTTGCAATCCCCCTGCCTTGGCCTCTCAAATTTCTGGGATAAACAGGCGTATGCCAACCATGTCTGGTTAAGAGTGAAGTTTTTTACAACTTCATCTTTTGATCTTCTATACCTATATCCAAGATATACTAGAAGCAACTATAATATTTGCTTTTTTTTAGTATTGTGATTCTTTCTTTTTCATACTGTTGGCTACTGAAACTCAAACTATCTTTTTGTTTTGTTTTGTTTTTTGAGACAGGGTCTCATTTTGTAGTTCAGGCTGGCCCAGAACTTATTATGTGCCGGGGATAGCCTCATACTGGCAGCAAATGCTGGGATTACAGGTGTGTGTACCACATCCAGCCCTCACACTATCTACTGAAATTATGTTTTAAACTGAGTTTGTGTGCCAAGCATGGTAGCACACACCTATAATACCAGCACTTGGGAGGCTAACCTGGGCTACAGGTTAAGTGAGCTTAAGGCAGCCTGAACTATATAATGACTTTTCCTCAAAAAAACAAAACCAACCAGCAGGTGTGGTGGTTCATGCCTGTAATCCCAGCACTTGGGAGGCTGAAGCAGGAGGATCACTGTGAGTTCGAGACCAGCCTGAGGTACACAGTGAATTCCAGATCAGTCTCAACACATAGTGAGACTGTCTCAAAAAACCAAAACAAACAAACAGGACCAGGGATTTAGCTCAGTGGTTTTGCCGCCTACCTTGCAAGCACAAGGACCTGAGTTCAATCCCTGGTACCAAAAAAATAAATAAAAAGCAAAACCAAGGTTTAGCTCAGTGGTTCCGCCTGCCTCGCAAACACAAGGTCCCAAGTTAGATCCCTGGTACCAAAAACCAAAACCAAAACCAAAACAACCAGGTTATGGTGGTACACACCTGTGTAACCCCAACACTGAGCAGTCTGAGACAAGAGGGATCACTGTGAGTACAAAACCAGCGAGTTCAAACCAGCACGAATTAAAAATAAGACCGTCTCAAAAGTAAAAACTTAATGCTTTAGGGCTGGGAACGTAGCTTAGTGGTAAAGAGTATTTATTTGTCTAGCATACATGAAGCCCTGGGTTTGATTCTTAGATTGCATAAAACAAAGAAAAAGTTTTTAAATGGCTAAAACCCATTAAAAAGTAAACACATTCAAGTACAGTTAATAGGCAATAAAGACTGCATATATGTCAAACTGGCATGCTATGTTGCTTGTATGTAATACCACCAACTGCTCCAGAGACTAAGGCAGAATGACTCCAAATTCAAGGCAGCCTGGACAACTCAGGGAGATCCTGGATCAAAATATTTTAAAAGGGCAGGGGATTCAACTAAGTAGTAGAGTCCTTGCCTAGCAAGCTTGAGGTTCAATCCCTCAATACTATGAATGAATGGAGAGAAGAAAAAGATAGATTATACATGGCATTCTTTGTGATACTATATCCAGACAAGTTAAGAGACAGCTTCTGGGCAGGTTGAGGCAGGAAGACTGTCACATGCCAAGAGTTTACATCCCAGCCTAGTTAGCAGATGGGGGGGGGGGAATGTCAGTCTATTTTGCCTCAGCTGCCTCCAACTTGGTGATCTTCCTGCCTCGGATACTATTTGTGTGTACCAGGCCGGTTGAGACTTTTGATTTGTATACCTTAATCTATAATCTTTTGCACATATATGGTATATATTATTTCCTATCTCATTTTCTTGCCAAAATAGTATCTTCAGTTATGTGGTGACATTGTGTCTTTAGAAGTATTTGCTACTTTGTAACTGGTAGTTTTTTGCTCAGTAGTACAGCACAGGTTTTAGCATGTACAAAGCCATAGGTTTAAACCACAATGTGTGTGTACATTAAAACTCTGAATAAATTTTAATTAAATTTGTAGTGCTGGGAACTGAGCTCATGCCCTTGGGCATGTTGAATATATACTCTACCACTGAGCTAAACCTTCAACAGATGTTCTTTTTCTGGAAGTACTATAGGTTGAGCTCAGGACCTTCACACTGAGCTACACATTCCCAGCCCTTCTATATTCTGAGACAGTCTTACTGTAAATCACTACACTAAGTCACCCAGGCTAAGCTCAAACTTGCATTATTCCTGGCCCAGCCTCCAAGTGCTAGAATTACAGACACGTGTCACCACCGTGCTTAGCTTTATTTCCCCTTTATTAAAGTCCACATTAGCATTACAAAGTATTATACTCAATAAAGGAAAATGAAGTTCAAAATAAGGGGATATAGCTGGGCATGCTGGCACGTTCCTGTAATCCCAGAACTCAGGAGGCTGAGGCTGGATGACTGCTGTGAGTCCAAGGCCAGCCTAAGGGGAGATAGTTCAACATGAAGGCCCTAGGTTCAACCCCCACTACCCCAACCAATTCCAAAGTTGGTAGAAATTCTTTATGAGGTTCTGGCTTTGTCTTTAATCTAGGATGTGAACAGCACTTGGAAAATCATTTAAAAGTTTGCATGCCCACAAAGAAGTATCAATTGTTTTGGGTCCCGGAACAAGATCACACTCTTCAAGTGTGTTCACTCTTTAACACAATTCCCAGGCATGTGTATCTGGTTTGCTGAAAGGTTAGCCAGTGAGCATAAAGTTCATGGTCTCTTGTAACTCATGAGATTAGCAGCAAGCTGACTGATTGGGGGACAGCAGGGTGCTGGACCTATAGTGCTGGCAAGCAGCTGCTGCTACTGAGCAGTGGTAGAGGGTCACACCTAGCATGACATAGGGTTGCACCTAGCTGGGGGGTGGGAGTGGCGTCTGCATGAAACTGGAGAGAAGCCCAGCCTAGACTGCAGCACTAATTCTTTACAAAATGGCAATGAAAGAATGAGGTATTTTCCCTTCTTTTCCTTTATTAATTTCTACTTGTGTTAACTGAATAGTGCGCCTGTTCATTAGGGAAACTCCTTTGGAACTCTAGCTTTGTTGTTGAAGAAAATGAGGGGGAAATTTATTTTCTCAAACCTTAATCTGAGCATCACTAAAAGTGGTATAGGGAGATATGTATCCCCAGATTTGATGCAGTATGTATTCCACAATACTACAGTATTTTTTAAAGTGTGATCTCAATCTTATAAACATGTAAAGCTTAATTCCTGTCTAGAGGAAAGATGAGAAATAAGAACAAGATAAATGACAGGCCATCAGGCTACAAAGTGAAAAATCTTGAACACTGCTTTGCAAATCACTGACATAAAGAGAAGGAAGCACTGCTTTAGACTAAAAGATACTTGAGATTTGTGAAACAAGCACAGTTCAAAATCATGGTTTGCATCTTGATTCAAAGGACGTATTGTGCGGCCGTAGATTTAGCTCAGTGGTGTTTCTGACTCGCAAGTGCAAGGTCCTGAGTTCAATCCCCAGTACCAAAAATCAAAACAAAGTATTGCCAGCCTGAATTACTTGAGAACTTCTTTCAACCAAAACAAAAAGAAATTAAACGGAAATGTGAGATAAAAATCAAAATACACAGGGTTGGCCTTAAACTACTTTGGGAAAGGAAAATAAGGATTAATAAAACATGGCAAAACTGTTGCATCTAGCCGGGCATGGTGGCGTACACCTGTAATCCCAGTACTCAGGAGGCTGGAAGGTCGCTGCAAGTTCAAGACCAGCCTGGGGTACATAGTGAGTTCCAGAGCAGTCTGAACTACATAGTGAGACCCTGTCTCAAAAAACCAAATAAATAAATAAATAAAATAAATTGTTCAGGCCGGGGATTTAGCTCAGTGGTTCGGTGGCCTGCCTTGCAAGCTCAAGGACCAGAGTTCAATCCCCGGTACCAGAAAATAATATTAAAAATATTCTTTATGGGCTGGGGATTTAGCTCAGTGGCTCTGCTCCACCACCTGCCTTGCAAGTGCAAGGTCCCAAATTCAATTCCCAGTTCCAAAAGAATAACGCAAAGTCCTACATTGGACTTCCTCTATGGTCAAAAGAAAAGCCTCTACATTAAAAATGACATCAAATTTTCTTGTTGGTTTCTAGTATATGTGCTGCCGAAGTGAGCACACTTGTTGGTTTTAGTGGCAGTGAGCATCAAATCTCAAGCATTTTAGACAAGTACTGTACCACTGAATTACTGTATCTCCAAATAGCATGAAATTCTGTGTAGATTGTTTAGTTTTCTACTCAATTAAGACATAAGAAAAGGCTGCAATTAACTATAGCTCACAAATTCTGGCTAGGACTATCCAATTGTCATTTACTGTAATATTTCAAAAATTGTTGCTCTGATAAATGGTATTTGTTAATCCACAGATATTTAGATTGTAGGTTTTCCTTATTTTAATGTGTCATTATCGCAAATAAAAATAAAATCCACTGAGGAGAGGTAGGAGTGACAGATAAAACAGACCCTGTGATAATGGTTGGCACTAAATAATTGGTACATTGGGGGTCACTACTGCTTGTACTGTACCTTTTGTGCTTGAAGAAAATTACACAATAGTCAAAAGGCATTAACATAGGGCCGGGGATATTACTCGGCATACAGGATCTGCCTAGCAAGCATAAGCTATTGGGTTAGATTCCTATACTGCAAAAACTAAACAAACCTGATAAGAATTTGCAATAATTTCACAAATGGCTATGTAAATCTGAAAATGTTTATAGTATTA